AAACTGATGAGAATTTCTGATAATGTTCAATTTAAAAAGGTCTATGATTTTTGCAAAAAAAATTATTAAAAATTATGTCCAGTTCTGGCATAAGAGACAGGGGAAAGACTAGCATGAACTCCATATTATACATTATACTCCCTTCCTGCTTCATTAATCCTTTCTTGACTACAATGGGCCTAGGTTGCAGAGAGATGTGAATTTGGCTCCTCTAGCTCCACTTATTATATTTGCCAGAATAAGGCTGCTATTAACTCAAACTTTGCAGTTTCTTTTGGCTTTCCTGCTTCTTTGGAGCTTTGTCAGGGAGCTTTGAGCAGTCCAGCTTGTTGGCCTAGCTCAGAAAACCCAGTGACACAAAGTTTAGAACCTAAGACCATATAGTCTTAGGGTGTGTCTAGACTAAAGGGTTTTGTCGACAAAACTATACCTGCGTCCACACTACCGCTGAGTTCTGTCAACATAACATCGACAGAACTCAGCAGTTTTGTCGACGCTGGTAAACCTCATTTTACGAGGCATAACGCCTTCTGTCAACAGAGTTTCTGTCGACAGAAGGTGTTATTGCATGTAAACTGTCCTTTGCGTCCATACTACCATGTCGACAAAGCAGCTTGCTTTGTTGACAGAACTCAATGTAGTCTAGACGCTCTTTGTCGACAGAAGCCTGTAGTCTAGACGTACCCTTAGGGCCCAATCCTGTTCCCATGGACGCTGCTGGAAAAATTCCTATCAGAATGTATTCAGAGAAGGCTCAGACAACTCATTTATGACCTGCACTGGTTCATTTCTCCCTGTTCCCTTAGAAAGTCATGTCTTTTTGGTCCTGTGTTACTTTTAATCCATTTAGAGCATATTGTACAACTCTGAAGTCAATAATTTTAAAGGCACGGAGGAAAATACTTTTTTTTTTTTTTTGGCCTACTGTGATTTACTCTAAATTATGATATAATTCCCCATATTGGGAAAACAGATTTACACAGTATCCAGTCTGCAGAAGAAATTCAGGTATAATGGTTTCCTACCTTATAGAATCATGTATTCTCTTAAACATAGCTGATAAGCTCTGTATGATGTATGCAGTGTTACTGTGGCCCTGTCAGTCACAGGATATAAGAGATGCAGGGCAGGTACCAGCTTCTGTTGGTAACAGAGAGACAAGCTTTTGAGGCACACAGAGCTCTTCTTCAGGTCTAGGAAAGGAAGCCCAGGGTCACAACAAAATGCAAGGTAGAACAGATAATTTAGCATACTTAGCACACATCGTAAAGGACCAGTCAAAGCAGTGTGAGCCTTTAACACTTCTGCAGTCATAGTATAAAAAGAGGGGGTTAGTGGGTCACATTATTGTAATAAGCCATAGATCCAATGTCTCAGCTCAGTCCATCACTTGCTGGTGTATTACAACAATCTGTCACCCACTAACCATGAATGGTACCCCTTTCTTCATTGCTGTTCATGCTCACCTCCTGTCTGAAAGGATTCCTTTACTATGTTGACAGCATGAGTGGTTTGAAAGTGTGGAAGTGGAGCCAACATCAGGGGAAAAAATAAAAAGAGACAGTGTTGGTCTTTTTATTAAAATAAAAGTCCCCAAATGTTCAAAGCTTCCCACCATGTGAATGTGTCAAGGGTGTTTTCTGGCCTATGCTTCAGTTCTTCATGCTTTACAGAAGATGACTCAAAAGGAGAATGATTTTCATCTCCTGTTACTTCTGGGTTTCCAGCTAGTGCTAATGGCCAAAAGCTCTGTGCGACAGACTCGGACCCATCAGCTGCTGCAATCTGATCCTATTGCAGTCTGGGAGGTAGGTGGGCATAAGCCCTCCCATATCTATCAATCTATTCCACCTTGCCTTTTGCTGTGATGCTGGGAGTGACTTTCCGAGACCAGAAGAAGAGCACTGTGTGGCTCCAAAGCTTATCTCTCACCAACAGAAGTTGATTACCAGTAGAAGATATTACCTCACCCACCTTTGCTGGTATTAAATGAAAAATAATGCATAGCTTTATCACATTCTTAATCCTCAATTATTCTGGAGGTTGTTTTCTTGAATACACATGAACCCTGGTAGCAATCAACTTCCCCAGTGCGAAGTGAGTATAAAATGCTACCAATCTGATTCAGGAGCAATTCATACCCACTTTGCAATTAATTCACTCAGGTCTTATCTTCACTGTACAGTGGATTGATGCTGCAGTGATCGATCCACCAGCACTTGATTTATTGCATCTACTTAGACGCGACAAATCAATCTCCAAGCACTCTCCCCGTTGATTCCAATATTCCACCTGTATGAGAAGATGAGCTGGAGTCAATGGGAGAGCAGCCCCCTCTGCCTTTAGTGCACCGAATACACTGTGGTAAGTACGTCAACTGCACATAGATTAGATTGAAGGGGGAGGGGATTTAGTGTAGACAAGGCCTCAGTTGTAAATGACTATACATGGCAGTGGAAAAATCTAGCCCTCAATCTTTCAGGGAATCCTGAAATTTTTGCAGTAGCTTTCTCTGCATGATACAGTGGATTGGGCATAGTTCTTTGGTTCTTGCTCAGTTCCTCAAACACCCTATTTGCTAAACAAGGGAGAAAAGTATGTTTGAGTGTCGAGTCGGTATGTGACATTGAGCAGAACAAGAATTATGTGTATGCTGACTCCAAAATGGTTTGTTACACAGGGAGTAATTGGGGGGCTGCAGGAGAGCTTCCACCCCCAGAAGCCCGCAGAGCCAGCCCAGTCCTCCCCATCGGGGGCTCGTACCCCATTCCTCCCTCACCTCCTTCCACTTGCCCTTCCCTAGCCCCCCTTCTTCTTGATGTACAAAATAAAGATAACGTTTCTTCCAACATTGACTCTGTCTTTATTGAACAAAACTGGGGGAGACTGGGAAAAGGAGGTGGGAGAGGGGAAGAGAAAGGCTGGGAGAGGGGAGGGCAACTAACATGATCAGGGGTTGGGAACAGGTCCCAGATGAAGAAAGGCTACAGAGACTGGGACTGTTCAGCTTAGAAAAGAGGAGACGGAGGGGGGACAGGATAGAGGTCTCTAAAAGCAGGGGTTGGGTGGAGAGGGTGCATTCAGAAAAGTTCTTCCTGAGTTCCCATCAAGAAGGACTAGAGGACACCAAAGGAAAGGAATGGGTAGCAGGCTTGAAACTAGTAAGAGAAAGTTGTTCTTGACAAAGCAAATAGTTAACCTGTGGAACTCCTTGCTGCAGGAGGCTGTGAAGGCTACAACTAGAACAGAGTTTAAAGGGAAGTGAGATAAAGTGATGGAGGTTGGGTCCATGGAGTCCTATTAGCCAGAGGGTAGGAGTGGTGTCCCTGCCCAAAGTTTGTGGAAGGCTGGAGAGGGATGGCACGAGACAAATGGCCATTTGTCTCGTGCCATCCCTCTCCAGCCTTCCACAAACTTTGGGCAGGGACACCACTCCTACCCTCTGGCTAATAGGACTCCATGGACCCAACCTCCATGACTTGATCTCACTTCCCTTTAAACTCTGTTCTAGTTGTAGCCTTCACAGCCTCCTGCAGCAAGGAGTTCCACAGGTTAACTATTTGCTTTGGGAAGAACAACTTTCTCTTACTAGTTTCAAGCCTGCTACCCATTCCTTTCCTTTGGTGTCCTCTAGTCCTTCTTTATGGGAACTCATGAAGAACTTTTCTGAATGCACCCTCTCCACCCAACCCCTGCTTTTAGAGACCTCTATCCTGTCCCCCCTCCGTCTCCTCTTTTCTAAGCTGAACAGTCCCAGTCTCTGTAGCCTCTCTTCATCTGGGACCTGTTCCCAACCCCTGATCATGTTAGTTGCCCTCCCCTCTCCCAGCCTTTCTCTTCCCCTCTCCCACCTCCTTTTCCCAGTCTCCCCCAGTTTTTTTTCAATAAAGACAGAGTCAATGTTGGAAGAAACGTTATCTTTATTTTGTACATCAATAAGAAGGGGGGCTAGGGAAGGGTAAGTGGAAGGAGGTGAGGGAGGAATGGGGTATGAGCCCCCGATGGGGAGGACTGGGCTGGCTCTGCGGGCTTCTGGGGGTGGAAGCTCTCCTGCAGCCCCCCAATTACTCCCTCTCCCCAGATGGCAGCCTGCGGCAAGTGCAGCCGGGCTGATGGCCGAGTGGTGTGATGTGCCCAGTGTGGGCACTCAGGGCACTCCAGCCAGAACTTCTTTGCAAGCGGGGCACCCCTTAGAACTGTGTGTCCGGGGTGGGGGTCGGGACCCTTTAAGCGCAGCCCTCGGCTAGCCTGAGACAGCATCTCCATGCTCTAAGTCCTCCTTTTATGCCCTGCTGGCACTGCTTCCGGCCATCCTTAAGCCCTGTTCAGAGTCCACTCAATGTGGACTTGCTAGTTCGAACTAGCAAAACGCTAGTTCAAACTAGTTTTTAGTTCTAGACGCGTTAGTTCGAACTAGCTTAGTTCGAATTAACTAATTCGAGCTAAGTTAGTTCGAACTAGCGCTGTAGTGTAGACGTACCCTTGGAGTCTAGAGTATACTTTAACCCCAAACTCAGTTGTTTTATTACAGATGGGTGTCTGAAGTCAGGGGATGAAGCATATTAACCTGTAGTACATGTCCCAGGACAAACAGCAGGACTGAGTATGAAGCTCCAGAGCGGGCAATCAGAATCTTCTGAGTCATGCTGTTCTGTTTTTCAAATAAAAATTGTTTCACTTCAGTGAAGTCACTTTGGAATACATATTTTTCTCCTGGGATTTTCAGAAATGCCTTCTCCATTGCTGAACTTGGCAGATGTACTGACACTTTGCATCATCAAAACCACAGAAACAGAGACTTTTGTAAGAGAAAGAAGAGGAACTGCAGCTGAAATGAATTTAAAAATGGATGGTTGTAATGGCAGATATTAATGGAATTACCTATTTGTTTAATTCACAGACTCTCATCCAACCTGGGATATTGCTGTCCATATGGAATGCACTCCAGGTTCTGAGAAAAGCAGTTCTTTGTGAAGTTTGTCCCTGTAAAAGAACAGTTAGATCAACACAAATGTAACTTTATAGTATTACATTTCCATCTGTGGTTAGGCCTGACATATCCTGCACACTTTTGCTCAGTGCACTGGATAAGATTTATAAACCATTCCAGACACTACATTGTGCTGATAAACTTTGTGTAGTTTATTCTGAGATTAAAATGTCTTTGCAGGTAACTTTAAGGGGGGAAATTCTAGGTTATGTCATCAGTGCAAAAAGAGATGTGTTTGTACGTAGGAAGCTAATGCCTACCTGTTTTGATATAAAATCCCAGTAGATACAAGGCACTGTAGTTTTTATCTCAGAAGTCAACCTATAGTGCAAAGGGACAAGTAAAAGCTATCAGTGCTTGATGTCACACAGCCCTATACTATTATCTCTGTGAAAGGTGCAAGAATTTCTTCTGGTACCTCCTATGGCTGTTTGATGAATATGGAGACAAAAGACTGCAGTGAAGACAACCAAGCTTCATATTTAAAATGGAATTTGTAGTCAGGCACAGATTCATTTCCAGAGTAACCAGGATCACCCCGAATTACTAAATTGTACATAAATTCCCCTAACTCCACTTGGATTTTATGTTGAGAATTGAAACCACACCTCTGTCAGTGGAGACAAAGCTTCAGCTGTGGGTTGAAGAGCAGGGGTTTGACTCATTCCACAGTATGGAAGTGAATGGACGTGATTTTCCATCACTTTGTATCTTAACTTGTTATCTACATCAGTTACACATTACCTGGAAAAGCTACCATTGTGCTGTAGCGATGTGTGACAGCCACTTCACACTGGAGTGAGTGACATCTCTATACTAGAAAAGTAGCTAGTACTGACAAGCAGTTTGGCAACTACTTTGTACACTGGGTCCTAGGCAGAGCACAGTGCATTCATTCATTGAGTCACAAAGGCATGGGTAGGTAGGTCAGTACCTGAGGAAAATAATCAGACATTTTACAGAGACAACACAAAACTGACGTGGCAGAGCTCTGGCATTGCCTCTGGGGTCCTGCACTTCTAGGCAGATAGTGTTTGTCTCAGAGGTGCACTGTGGCTCTCCACACAGCCTCTTGCCTTTTACGGGAGGCAAAGGTCACAGCCTACTGAGCTATCATCATCATAGGCCAGTCAAACAGATTTGAGGTGTACCTCTCTTTAGTCCCAAACTTCCCTTTCAGGGGTGGCCTCCATACTGGTGCAGGAAGGGCTGGGGGGGAAACCACCCTCTGCTCCAAGTTCTGTCTCAGGTACCCTAATATCATCAGCAGCAGCAGGGCGGGTTCACCACCACCACCGCTTCAGCTTTTCCCTAAGCCACTTCCCCAACCAACTCTTCCCAGCACCTTTCTACTAGTAGTTACGTCCTTCCACTCTTCACCAGTGCACCTCTTTACTCCCAGTCCATGGCCAGTCACCTATCTCTGAAGGGAAGCCTTTTAAATTAGCCCCAAAAGGTCCTCAAAGGGCTGTGGTTGTTCTAGTTAGCCTGCTGCTTCTGGCAAGCTCTTATTTAGCTTTTCCTGATTGCTCTGGTTACTTAGGGAACAGAAAACTGTTCACCCAAAGGCCATCATAGCTACCTTCCATCAGACTGTGTGGCACTGTGAGCATGGGTATGTACTTGGCGCAATTCACCCCTGTTCCCGACACTTGCCCTTTCTGTGACGTGAGGGAGACCCTGGTGCACATTTATATTGAGTGCACCAGGTTACAGCCCCTGTTTTGGCTCCTCCAGTGCCTCTGGGTGAAGTTCTGGCTACTCACCTATTGATCTTTGCACACTCCATCTGTGGCCCCATGAAGTCGCAGAACCTCCTCGTCAGCCTCCTCCTAGCTATGGCTAAACTGACCATTTATAAAACCAGGGAGCTGAGGTTGGCTGAAGGAGGGGCCTGTGACTATGGGGGCCTATTTCTGCTTCAGCATCTGCTCACACATCCAGGTAGACTTACACTGGGCTGGATCTCTCAGTGCCTTCCAGGGGCAGTGGATGCTGGCCAGGGCTCTCTGCTCAGTGTCCCTTTCCAGTTCCCTTGTTCTAGCCCTTTGATCTTCATAGCCGCCCCTGTTTTTTCTGAGATTTGTCCTATGTAATCATTTGGCATCCAGGGCTCTGTAGATCCTTCCCGTAGGCTGGAAGAGGGTATCCTTTAGATATGGGGAGCTTATGCCCACCTACCTCCCAGACTGCAATAGGATCGGATTGCAGTAGCTCATGGGTCTGAGTCTGTCGCACAGAGCTTTTAGCCATTAGCACTAGCTGGAAACCCAGAAGTAACAGGAGATGAAAATCACTCTCCTTTTGAGTCATCTTCTGTAAAGCATGAAGAACTGAAGCATAGGCCAGAAAACACCCTTGACATACCTTCAAGATGCTTCCATTAGCCTATGTGCATCCCCTTCTCTCTTATCAGGGTTGAGAAGTGTGTTATCACTAATCGCTAAGCTCTGCATTCACATGGTGGGAAGCTTTGAACATTTGGGGACTTTTATTTTAATAAAAAGACCAACACTGGCTCTTTTTATTTTTTTCCCCTGATGGTTGGCTCCACTTTCATACTTTCAAACCACTCATGCTGTCAGCGTAGTAAAGGAATCCTTTCAGACAGGAGGTGAGCATGAACAGCAATGAAGGAAGGGGTACCAAGAGGGTTTCCCCTTCCTTTTAGGAGGCAGTACTAGACCTTAGAGTTCACTGAGAGTGCAGTGGAAATGAGGGAATGAATCTGTGTTGTGGGAACAGGGAGTCCCCCTGCTGTAATGCCAGAAAGATGGGGGGAAGGTGTTGTAATAACGAATATTTTGCAATGAGTTTGTTCCCCCTTTTCACTTTCTTACACAGGCGATTAAAGGAATTTCCTAACTCCTTGATGACAGAATCAGAAGCTACAAAGCAGAACAACCACTCGCTCTTCTTGCTAGCAAAGAACATGGTAAAAGGAGGCGTAGACCGTACTCTTTGTCCTGTGATTCCCCACACTCACTGAGCTACAGTTTGCACACGGGGACCTGTTCATTACAGTGCATTTTCTACTGCTTTGTTGTTGAGCAGTGTTTCTCCAAGTGGTCCACAGACCCACTTAAGAAAGCTGCTACCATGCCACTCTGGTTTGATAACTTACTGGCTCTTTAGGCTGTTTGCAACCAAAGGGAGCCATGGGAAACAGTGTGGCTCAGGCTGTTGCTTCCTGCATCGCCCCTTTGGCTGCAAATTGGAAACCGGAGCCAATGGGAGCTCCAAGGCTCCTTGGATGTGGAGCCGGTAAGTAAACAAACCACAGTACCTGGATAGCAACTTTCTCAGAGTGGGTCCATGGACCACTTGGAGAAACCCTGTTACAGATCCATTTTAATAAATCCATGGGTAGGACTATGATTATCTTTCTATTAAAAGCCCAGTTTTGGCCAGAGGGTTGCACCCAGCAGGTTCACTACAGTCCAACTGCTGATGCAGTTCAAACAGAAAAGGCATAGAACATATAGGCATTAAATAAGATTCATTTCTCAGACTGTGCAGAGGATAACTGAAAACAGATTCCTGGGGCGTTTCAGCAGATACCACTCCATTAATTCCATGAGTCCAAGGTAGATTCTGCCCAATCTCCTATTCATGATGGGGGAGTGCGGGTGGGGGAGTGGTACTATAAGTGAAAAAAATGTAAAATCAAATGAAGTAAAAATCTTAAATGAGTCAAAATGTTCCATACAACCTCTATGGATAGTAAATCCATGCTCAAATAATAAGAATTTAGCAGTAGGGATGAATTATCGACAACTTGATCAGGGATAGACATCTGTCAGGGATGGTGTAGACGGAGCTTGGTCCTGCCTTGAGGGCGGGGGGCTGGACTCGATGACCTCTTGAGGTCCCTTTCAGTCCTATTATTCTATGATTCTATGATTCTATGACCCCCGCTCTAAGCACTGGCATCTTATTGACTATGTCATTGTTAGGAGAAAAGACAGGCAAGATGTCAGAGTGACCAAGGCCATGTGTGGTGCTGATTGTTGGACAGATTATAGGCTCATTGTCTCCACATTAAATCTCCGAATTAGAATGAAGAGGCAGCCTCAAGGTAGCAAGCCCATAAAAAGAGTTAATGTGGCCAAGCTAAAGAACCCAAGCATAGCCTCAGTATTGACTGAGGATCTAGAAAGCAGGCTTTCTGACCTGCACCTTGCAGGCAGTGCTGCGGACAACTGGGAACTTTTCAGGAATGCTATCCACTCATCTGCACTGAAGATTTTGGGACCCTCTTTGTGCAAGCAGCCCGATTGGTTCAATGAGAATGATGGGGAGATATTGTCTTTACTTGCTGAAAAGCACCGCCTTCATCATGCACATCAGAACGATCCATCATCAGCTGCCAAGAAGAACGCCTTTGCAAATGCTCGCAGGACAGTCCAGAACAAACTGCGCAAAATGCAGGATGCTTGGTTAAGTGATCAGGCAGCTGAAATTCGGGGGCATGCTGACAGGAATGACCTGAAACGGTTCTGTGCAGCCCTCAATATGGACCTCAGTCTCTCGGGAGCTCCCCCCTTATTAGTACAGATGGTACCACTCTGATTACAGAGAAGGCTCAGATCCTGCAGAGATGGGCTGAACATTTTGAAGATGTCCTCAACCGACCGTTGAGGCAAAGCTCCAGGGGCAAACGCTATACCTGCAGAGGTCTATAAAGCCAGCGGTCACGTACTCATAGAGAAGCTCACCGAGTTGTTCCAGTCTTTTTGGGAGCAAGGATCCATTCCTCAGGAACTCAAGGATGCATCCATTGTGCATCTCTATAAGAGGAAGGGCAATCGACAGGTATGTGACAATCATCGGGGAATTTCACTGCTTTCCATCGCAGGTAAAATTCTTGCAAGAGTGATGTTAAATAGTCTGGTCACTCATCTGGAGTGTGGCCTCCTGCCGGAGTCACAATGTGGCTTTCGTAAGGGCCGTGGGACTATTGACATGATCTTTGCTGCGTGCCAACTTCAGGAGAAGTGTCAGGAGCAGAATCGTGATCTCAACACAACCTTTGTTGACCTCACGAAAGCCTTCGACACTGTCAGCCAACAAGGTCTGTGGAGGATCATGTCAAAGTTTGGCTGCCCCCCCAAATTCATTCAGATGGTGCGCCAGTTTCATGATGGCATGATGGCCAGAGTGCTAGACGGTGGAGAATCTTCTAAGGCATTCCCAGTCACCAATGGCGTCAAACAGGGCTGTGTACTCGCACCTACACTGTTCAGCATCATGTTTACTGCTATGCTGAATGATGCCTTCCAGGACAGCGTTGCCGGAATCAGCCTTAAGTACCGAGTGGACGGGAATCTTTTCAACCTGAGGAGACTTCAGGCTATCACCAAAGTGAAAGAGACTGTTCTGAAAGACTTCTTATATGCCGATTATTGCGCCTTGTATGCTGGCTCTGAAGCAGAGATGCAAGTCAGTGTGGACAAGTTCTGCACAGCTTGTGACAACTTTGGACTCATGTAGAGGAAGTGTATCTCTCATGTAGAATGGTCCAAGCTGAGATTGATGGTGGGGTGAAGGTTGTTAAAATCTCTGTGGAATGTCTCCGGTGTTTCCTGGACATGCGTCCAGATCATAAAGATGTCATTGAAGTAGCGTAAGTAGAGAAGGAATAAGAGGGGACAGGAGCTGAGGAAACGTTCTAAGTCAGCCATAAAGACGTTAGCGTACTGTGGGGCCATGCGGGTACCCATGGCTGTGCCGCTGATCTGGAGGTATAAGTTGTTCTCAAACTGGAAATAATTGTGGGTGAGAACAAAGTTACATAGGTCTGCTGTCAAATTGGCAGTGGTATCCTCTGGGATAGTGTTTCTAATTGTTTGTAATCTGTCTTCATGTGGGATGTTGGTGTATAGAGCTTCTACATCCATGGCAGCAAAGATGGTGTTATTGGGGAGGTTATCAATGTTTTGTAGTTTCCTTAGGAAGTCAGTAGTATCTCGGAGATAACTGGGGGTGTTGGTTGCGTAGGGTTTGAGAAGAGAGTCTACATAGCTGGATAAACCAGTAGTGAGCGTGCCGATACCTGAGATGATGGGACATCTGGGTTGTCCAGGTTTATGAATTTTGGGAAGCAGATAGAACAATCCTGGTCTGGGTTCAGAGGTGTTTCTGTGTGGATTTGTTCCCGAGTAGCTGTAGGGAGGCCTTTAAGGAGACAGTATAGTTTCTTTTGGCATTTCGATGTGGGATCAGAGGAGAGAGGTTTGTAAAATGTGGTGTTGGAGAGTTGTCTGGTTGCCTCCTGGTTATAGTCGGCCTTATACATAATGATCACAGCACCCCCTTTGTCAGCTGGTCTGATTATAATGTCCCCGTTGTTTTTGAGACTCTGGATAGCATAGTGTTCAGCGCGGCTGAGATTGTGTGTCGCTTGTTGTCGTTTGTGAATAATGTCAGTCTGTGCATTGTTGCGGAAGCTTTGTATATAAAAATCCAAATTGTAATTCCGACTGTCAGGGGGAGTCCATATAGAATTATGTTTCCTTTGGTGTTGATAGGGCGGATCTGGTAGGTCAGATTGATGTTCGTTGGTGGTTTGGAAATATTCTCGGAGGTGGAGGTGGCGAACAAAAGCCTCAAGGTCACCAGTCCCAGTCACCAATGGCGTCAAACAGGGCTGTGTACTCGCACCTACACTGTTCAGCATCATGTTTACTGCTATGCTGAATGATGCCTTCCAGGACAGCGTTGCCGGAATCAGCCTTAAGTACCGAGTGGACGGGAATCTTTTCAACCTGAGGAGACTTCAGGCTATCACCAAAGTGAAAGAGACTGTTCTGAAAGACTTCTTATATGCCGATTATTGCGCCTTGTATGCTGGCTCTGAAGCAGAGATGCAAGTCAGTGTGGACAAGTTCTGCACAGCTTGTGACAACTTTGGACTCATGTAGAGGAAGTGTATCTCTCATGTAGAATGGTCCAAGCTGAGATTGATGGTGGGGTGAAGGTTGTTAAAATCTCTGTGGAATGTCTCCGGTGTTTCCTGGACATGCGTCCAGATCATAAAGATGTCATTGAAGTAGCGTAAGTAGAGAAGGAATAAGAGGGGACAGGAGCTGAGGAAACGTTCTAAGTCAGCCATAAAGACGTTAGCGTACTGTGGGGCCATGCGGGTACCCATGGCTGTGCCGCTGATCTGGAGGTATAAGTTGTTCTCAAACTGGAAATAATTGTGGGTGAGAACAAAGTTACATAGGTCTGCTGTCAAATTGGCAGTGGTATCCTCTGGGATAGTGTTTCTAATTGTTTGTAATCTGTCTTCATGTGGGATGTTGGTGTATAGAGCTTCTACATCCATGGCAGCAAAGATGGTGTTATTGGGGAGGTTATCAATGTTTTGTAGTTTCCTTAGGAAGTCAGTAGTATCTCGGAGATAACTGGGGGTGTTGGTTGCGTAGGGTTTGAGAAGAGAGTCTACATAGCTGGATAAACCAGTAGTGAGCGTGCCGATACCTGAGATGATGGGACATCTGGGTTGTCCAGGTTTATGAATTTTGGGAAGCAGATAGAACAATCCTGGTCTGGGTTCAGAGGTGTTTCTGTGTGGATTTGTTCCCGAGTAGCTGTAGGGAGGCCTTTAAGGAGACAGTATAGTTTCTTTTGGCATTTCGATGTGGGATCAGAGGAGAGAGGTTTGTAAAATGTGGTGTTGGAGAGTTGTCTGGTTGCCTCCTGGTTATAGTCGGCCTTATACATAATGATCACAGCACCCCCTTTGTCAGCTGGTCTGATTATAATGTCCCCGTTGTTTTTGAGACTCTGGATAGCATAGTGTTCAGCGCGGCTGAGATTGTGTGTCGCTTGTTGTCGTTTGTGAATAATGTCAGTCTGTGCATTGTTGCGGAAGCTTTGTATATAAAAATCCAAATTGTAATTCCGACTGTCAGGGGGAGTCCATATAGA